ATAACATATTTTTTAGGCACAGCAGTGTGCTTTACAAATGTGCATAGTGTTCTGCTGGCTTCAGTTCTCTGGGAGAAAATCTCATCATGTGACCTGTCAAAGATATGTGACCAGCTCTCCTCCAGTCATGGATTTCTCTCTGCTGCATTTAACAGAGAGAACTCTGTAAGACACCACATGCTCCACACCACAGCCTGCATTTTACAGCTCATTTTTAAAATGCAAGCCACAGTGTGGAGCGTGAGGTGGAGAAACCTTTTAGAATATTATAAAGAGAGGATATCAATATGCACTTTCTATTATAAATGGGCCCCTAAGGCTCCACTCACACCATCTGTGTTGGAGCTGTCATTGTTTCCAACGCAGACCCAACCAAAGACAAGGCAATTTGCCTTGTCACGCATGGTGCCCATTCACAGCACTGCATTGCGGTAGGAACATGGTGGTGTGCTCCGAAAAAAATAGGGAATGCCTTTTTTTCAACGTAGCAGGATGTGACGTGGTACATCCAACCCATAGAACAGAATGAAATGTCACTCGTGACATTTCAATAAAGTTCTAACAAAAAAAAGTACCCAGTGTGATGCGCTGAAATCTTGCGCTTCTGCACTGTGTCAGGGCACCACACACACCAGACGTGAGAATACTGCAGCGTCTGATGTGAATGGACTCTTAGGGCCCATTCACACCAAATCCAGTTCATCTCTAGACCAGACCAGATTGTTACCGAACCCAAAATGCATCCTAATGTATCCCTATGCTATTTCTGGCCTCTTTTCCCACCAGCACAGTCCGTTCCAGACCAGACCAGAAAAATACTGCATGTCTCATTTTGTCTGGTCTGGAATGCACTGGAACGGCGGGCAGGTTCACACCATTTTCCAGACCAGATCTGGTCCGGAAAATGGTGTGAACCTGCCCTTAGTGACTTTGCTAATACACAATTGAATGTTGAATGCTTTTTTATTCGCACTAAAAGTTAACTTTTTAGAACACCGCTTCCTTTCTCAGGTTCAAGCAATACCTATTAACTAAGGTTTGGCTCAGTAAAGAAAGTCCAGTTAGTATGAACATGCTAAAGTATATACATACAGTACGCGAATTGTTTCAAAGGCATACATACAGTACGCGAGTTGTTTCAAGTGCAATCAAGTGTTGTTTTCAATATGACTGCAATCTCTTAACTCATGAATATATAAAACAGTAGCAATCTGCAACAGTATCAAAGATAAGGCTCTGATAAAAAGGGTGACTAATATTTTGTTTAGATTAGATGCGCTGATTAAATGTAATAAAAGCTGTTACGTAACCCTTTTTGCAGTCTGTAGAGAGACATGAGTATAGAACTTTAATCTAAAAATCACTAAATACTAAGCTGTATTTTTCTTTTTTGAGCAGAACAGTCTAAAATTGCTAAAATCATTACTAAAATCATTTACTGTAAGAAATAGCAAATATGCCATGAATTGATGACACTAGGGATGAGCGCATATAAAAACCCACTCTACAGACACTTTACCCACTTGTGCCTGAGGCGTATCTTTGCAGTGTTTGGATTTACCAGTCTTTTCTTTCCACTCTTTCCTTCTCTTATTAGTAGTCTAGACATACTCACGGTACCTCCATAGCAAGAGGTCTATATACTCAGAGGCCATTGATGTATTAATACCAGAGCCCATATTCCCCTTAGAACTGGCTACCAAGGCTACAGAAAATGAGTTATTCTTTTCAGAACACAAGCCCAGCGTTGATAGTCTTTGGGCTTCTCCACACTACTAGTGCCTCACTACAGACAAAGTTCTCCACAAACACTAACTCTACACAGCCATGGCAGATAGGGCCCTGATGAATTGTATAATCCTTTAAAGTGACACTAAATCCAGGGGTTAAATCTTAAAAATGCATTTAAGTACCCTAATTATTGGTGACACTGTCCTTCCTTTCTGGAGGGTGACTACTTTTGTTCCCCATGGTCCTTGTGTGTGTTGTAAAGTAGTCACCACTTCAAGCTTGCTCCTGCGAGGGACTATAATTTCAAAACAAATTAGTAAACAAAATGTGAGATTGTAGTCCATCATGGGAGTAAGCTTGGAGTGATGGCTGCTTTACAACAAAAACAGGGACCATGGGGAACAAAAGTAGCCACCCTCCAGAAGGAAGGACAGTGTCAGCATGAATTTAGAGATCATTTTCAGATCTACAGCTAAGTGATACACAAAATAAGGTACATTTTTGTTAACAGTTAAAGTAGTATTACATATACAGTATCTACTGCTAGCAAGCAGTAGATATATGCAAAAACATTTAAAAAAAGAAAAAAGTTGCCAAAAAGGTAAAAAGTTACCTGTGTCTGCACCGCTTGCTCCCAGCTTTAGAATCCAGCTTCCCGAACGGCCGTGCAGGAGGAAGTGTGTGCAGGTGCATGCGCAGTCAATATCACCGGCGGAGAGAGAAGGAGAGACACAGTATAGGTGAATGCTTGCAGCCATGGGCGTGCGCGCCAGACAGACTTCACAGAAGATATAGGGGTCTGCGCCGGATCAGAGAGCGGCACCAGTGATGGAGGGACTTTTGTAAACGAGTGGAAGGAAGACGTTTTATGGAACAAGAGGCATCACATAAGGTAAGTACTTAAAGCAGCATGGGGGAGGGGGAAGAAGCCTTTAATGTCACTTTAAGGTACTTGAATGCATTTTTTAGATTTAACTCCTGAGTTTAATGTTACTTTAATATCCTGCCTGTAATGGTTGAAAGATTAGATGACCCCTTTACCAGTTGACCAGAGTATGTATAGCAGCTTATACATAGCCACCCTCCTCGTTTTGAATCACTGGTGGTGCCACATTTGTGAAGCACCCAGCCCTATGTGCTGCATCGGGCTGATATCAGTTATTTACCAAAATAATTAAAAATGGCAGAACAGACTGAAATCCAGATTCTCAGGAGGCCTAAACAATTACCAGCATTCAATAGTTCTTAGGGCTTACAGTGTGTGTAGAGAAGTATTAATCTTTTCCAGAGTATAGTGTACAACTGTATTCTAGATATGCCAAATGTAACAGTTTTATGTTGGTTACATATATCTAATGGGCCCCCTATATTAAGGCTGCACTTTAGGTGCAAGAAATCTAGTATAGCTTGCAAGGGGGTTGCCTACCAATGCTAATTAAGGGGCTTTGTCATTCTGACAGCTCACTCCATTCCCAGTGAGAAATGCCAGTACTCAGTTTATACTTTGGTGATGTAAGACATACTACCACCCTATCCCCCGTTGGCTGCTTAAAACTGCATAGCAGGGTGTGATTCTGCAGCATGCACCTCTGGCAGGGTGCATATGCTCTTCCTTTACACAAAGTAAAGTACATGCTAGGACAAAGGCCTTTAGGCACCATCTTTCACTTCCTCATGGCTTGGATAGTGTACAGGATGGAGAGAGCAGATGTAACTGTGAATTTTCTCTGAATAAACAGATACCTACATTTGTTTTTTTAGAAAAAAACAAATATATATATTTGCGTTTAATAAGTGGGGGCATTATTTATAAACTGCTTATGCTTGGAACTTAGCTTTAAAGAGAATCAACCATCAGCATTAATTATTTTTGTTATATGCGCCTCTATGAAAGTTTTATGTTTACCATGCTAATTTAGCATTACCTAGTACAGGGGTAGCCAAACTCCGGCCCTCCAGCTGTGGTGGAACTACAAATCCCATGAGGCATTGCAAGATTCTCACAGACATGACTCCTGAAGAGAGATGCATCATGGGATTTGTAGTTTCACCACAGCTGGAGGGCCAGAGTTTGGCTACCCCTGACCTAGTATATCAAAAGAGGAGTCATGGAGCTAAAGCTGCCCATGCACTATGCAAATTTTATCCAGTTCTTGAACGGGCTGAAATTTGCAGGGTGGGTGCCGATTTTGGCACCCTTGTGGCCCGGCATCGTTCAATCAGCTGATCGAAGGAGCTGGTTGAAAAATCTTCAAACAAACAGAACCAGCAGTCATTCAGCTGCCACCTCTGTTCAGGTATTCTGACAGTGGCCGAGTCAGAGGTCTGACAGTGGCTGCCCCTCCAATCCTGAACTCATGCTTTCACATTTTTCCCCCAGCTCTTAAGTGACCACAGAGCCTTCTAGTTGTTTACTTTCCTCAACTGCTATTATGTAATAATGTTATGAAGGAGACAGCATGTGCTAGCAGCATGAGCAAAAATAGATATTTAGCAGAAATACATAATTCATACTTAGGCCTGTATCCTAGTTATAATTAAAGACAGAATATTCAGATTTTTCCATTAGCCCAGTTGTAACTGGTTCTCTTTACGTGCCTATGGCACTCTATGTAAGAATTAGTATTGTATTGTATAACAGGCAGTGGCAAGCCTCAGTCCAAATGCTATCCAAAGTGTATGGAGTCATTCAATGTCTGTCAATAGAGCTGGTCAATGTCTGAGGTTTGGTATATTATAAGGAAAAACATGTCCCCTGAATAAATTATTCAAGATTTTAGGATTCATTCTGGAGTGTAATGACCTTTATAACTAACTCAGCCAGAGGCTTTGTGCATTCACATAGCCTCTGAATGTTTGTGTGAATCCTAGCATCCTTACAATTTACTGTAGGGCTTACATTATCCCATGTATAATATGAATATTTGTAAATAATACAGTTGTCATACGTAGTTGTACATCATATTTACCTTGAATGGGATTGCATTTGCATGCATGTATGTCTGAAAAGCTATTCATGTAAAGATAATTATATTTTTAATTACAAACGTAATGAGGTGACAGGCTAGTCCAAAGTACAACCTACATGTGGCTAAAATTACCAAAAATATACAAGGCTCAGCAATCACAGACCTTTCCCTTGTACCCCACCGACGTTTGTGCATGATTATTGAACAGATTATTCTAGTTCAGCCATTTAATCCTGTTCATTCACCAACTGCAATGCTCTCTTCTTTCTCTAATCTGCGTCTCAATATGTTCTGTTATAGGACAGAGAGCTGCGTCCAGAGGAAATAGAAGGTAAACAACACTTGTGTGTGAAAACAAAACAATATAATCTGGTATACAGTATGATTTTTTTTATGGTCAATGAATGCAGGAGAATGAATGAGAGATGTACAAATGTACTTTTACTGCAACATTGTACGTAGGTGTACACCAAAGCACTACTGACTCATCCCTGCATCTTAAGTCATATTGTGTTTATTATTACTTTCTAGGCATATTTTCCAATGGGAGCCATTGACTACTGATGATCACTGTGTAACCCCCCCCCCCCTTCACCTTGAGACTTATTATTGTTACTCCACATAAACTCATACCTCCTAATATAATCTGTTTAGAGTCTCTCTCTTACTGACCTCCCTAGGGCAAGTACAGTATGGTTTACCTGTAAACACAGCCTTTCATTTTGTCTCTGTTTCTTACCATATCACATCATTCACATCCCCATCCACTGTTCCTTCAATGGCATTTCCAGCACCAATGGTATCACTGTAATGTTACCAGAATTGGTGGACCCAATTCAATGAATGGAGCAATGAGGAACATATGGTCAGCAGTGAAATGGAAGGTCCATCTTGTTCATTATGCCCCTGGTACAGCAGCAGAGGCTGTATGTCTGCCCCTGACCAGGGCTCCCAGCCCCTTGGGGGGTTTGTAATGCTACTGATATGCCTGGGCAGCTAAATAACAATAGCAAACTAACAGAAAAGAATACGACAACTTCAGGTCAAACTGATCTATCAGCTAGTGATGGTTTGATGGTGAACAGATATCGGCCTTACCATATGTGGTGCAACAAAAGCAAACTATATGACTACTTATTATCACAGAAAAACCATGCTGGAAAATTTCTTTATGACTGTAGGGAGCCAGCAGGTCTCATCTTGCCTGTTAGAGGAACTCTAAACTGATGTGTTCCTGTTACCTGTTAACCAGTTTCCTCTGGCTCTTGTTACCCTCATTAACTACCACCTGCATAAAACTATAGGAAGGATTTATATGTCCACCTCAATCCCAGTCAGCTGCTTCCCGATTCTGCCAGTTTGTGTTGCATGCTTCATGTTTGTGCACTGGTCTTCTGCTTCTTCTTCCCGAAATTCCTGTGTCCTGCAGTCTGCTGCTCCAGTTGTCGATCTCTCTTGTGTCATGTTCCCCTGTCCAGGAAGGTTTTTTGTACTGTTTGCCCCACCATTGCTGTGTTCACTCTAATTTTTTGTGCATTTAGCTTGTCAAATGTGCATCAATAAACTACTTTTTATTTAGTTTGTGTATCTGTGTATTCAGTTCAACCATATTATCAGTTGTCAACTTCTAAAGGGTTCCCTGTATGGAGAAACCTATAGTGCTCTTTAGCTAAACTAGAATACTATACGATATTACCTTTTGTGCACCGTATCCATCAATTGTATACTCGAAAGAAAATTGTGTCAGGTCCTAGTAACAGAAGAGTAATTCAAAGGTGGAGATGTTACATCCCATTTTCTCATTAAGTCACCTTCTTATGAATTCCCAGTGCTTTCAGAAAAGACCAGTTTAGAAAAGAACTGTTGACAATGCTTTGATAAGTTCTCATCAGCTTTTCCCTTAAAACCAAAATAACTTGCTTGAAACGTTAGTATGGAGCACACTGTAGATAATTTGGATGTATACATGTTGAATGTAAAGTCGTGCATTATAAATAAAACTATATTGTTTTATATGAAGACTGTACAGGAAAATTTCTACCTGTATAGTACTATAAATCAATAGCCTCAGGTTGATGTTAGAGTTCTAAATTATACAGAATGGATTTCCACCTTGGACACAAATCATATGATCCAGTTATCAGAGTCAGATGATTCAGAATTTGTAGATCTATCAAGGTCATGAATGCATAAGATATTCTAAATAACTCCTTGAATGACACTCATGACAGTTTTCTTAACCAAATAAAAAATGACTGGTTGGCTTTATGTGTTTAAATATTTTGTTGTCATCTTTTGTGCAGTTTCATGGAATTCTATATAATTGAAATAAGAATTGTGTTGTCTACAGAGCTCAGAGAAGCCTTCAAAGAGTTTGACAAAGACAAGGATGGATATATCAGCTGTAAGGACCTAGGGGATTGTATGAGGACCATGGGATACATGCCAACCGAGATGGAGTTAATTGAACTGTCTCAGCAAATCAATATGAACCGTGAGTCATATCCCTGTCTCATTCTAAACTTCCCAGTTTACTGTAGTGATGTCTCATTACTATTAGCACACCAACCCCAATATATTTATCATGACTTTAAAACATGGTAATCATTCCCTTTTATGCAAAAGGTTCATCAAGTATTAGAAACATGGGCTAGGGGCTGCAGAACTGAAATATACATTCAATGAATCTGCGTTGTACATGACATAACTTATTTACCTTTTTTTTTCATCCATCTCAATTGATATAGTTGGAGGTCATGTTGACTTTGATGACTTTGTGGAGTTAATGGGTCCTAAGCTTCTTGCAGAGACGGCTGATATGATTGGAGTAAAGGAGCTTCGAGATGCCTTCAAAGAGGTGAGGGAAGCTTTGAAAACACTATTGTCTAAACCTATCATTCTTATGTAAGTTATTGCTATGGTTACCTATTGTGTTAATCTCTTGTACATCTTTTTAGTTTGATACCAATGGAGATGGAGAGATCAGTACATGTGAACTACGGGAGGCAATGAAAAAGCTTCTGGGACAGCAAGTTGGTCACAGAGACATTGAGGATATCATACGCGATGTTGATTTAAATGGGGACGGACAGGTGGATTTTGAAGGTTAGTATATCATACAGAAGAATGCTCTGTTCTAGACTTAGACTAGACTTTGCAGTAGAATTATCTTTTTTGAAAGTGCCTTGATGAATGATGACTAGTAATGTGTTTAACAAAATGTAAAAATGAAAGGATTCCTTCTGAAAGATCCTCATTTAGGTTTGGAGATAAGCATATACTACATTAATATTACAATCATGAGGCTGAACAATTTAGTAAAAACAAGGTAGCACATAATGTTCATCCCTCCAACGTTACTGTGATAAGGTAGTGTCTAGTTGTTTTTATGCTAAATATAGCCATCTGTCTCCTTTACTGTCACACATGTTGGTTAAAAATGAAAACATTTATTTATTGATGTATGTTTTATTTATTTGGCAGAGTTTGTCCGTATGATGTCCCGCTGACCTGTGAATTGATGCCCATGTTATCCAATTGACTGCGCTGCTTTGGCGAAGCTGTGCCTCAATCAATCCACTAATACCTGGACTTGAAAGGGCAGTACCCACATCAGCCATAATGTCCCTATCTTGGAGGCACCATGTTTATGCCATGTCAGTATTCTTGTTGTGGAATACAGCACAGGTCATTCTTCTTGCTGATCCCACTGCTCTGAGTCGTAGTGTGCCATCCCAATCCCAGAAATGTGATATTAAACATATGGGACAATCATAAGGGACTTGGTTCTAACTGTTGGACACCTTGAAGAAGCCTACAGGATGCTGGGAAGAAAAAACCTGTGTGTACATGAGACAGCACCCATCATGTGATTTTAACTCCTAGAGGATTTGTGCAATAATAGAATAGAAACTTCTTCCTGGATTTTCAACTATATTAAATAAATAGTCAATAATATCTATAATCGTGATCTTGCAATGCAAGGACAGTGTAGAATACAGGTATGTACACAGCTATTGCATTCAAATAGATATGGTTTTACTGGTGTACTCAAGCATCTAAAGATTTATTCTCCTAACTACCGTATATCAGAGTCACTAGTATCTTACTAGGATATGCTAAGAAACAAAAACATCAGTTAGGGGTTATACACAGTATCAAGGAGAATAATTTGGGCATAGAGCCACAGAAAGGACAAAAATGTAGGTACAAGGACCAATCTTAATGATGATTTAAAGACAGAGTAGTCTTACTTGGTTCTATTTTCATATATACTATTATGTAATGCTTTCTAGACATTTGACACTAATATTTTTACCATAAAACTGTTATAAATAAGACTGCTTTAAGAATTAAAGAGAATCCCACCTATAATTTTTTGCCAGACTACTCTTTTTGTCCGTGGGAGTGCTGAGATACATCTGGTATTACCGGATATGGGGGAACAAGTGACCTCCCCTTCCTATCAGGATGCAGTGCACTTTAAGGGAATGGAGATGGTCATTAACCGTGTGTAAGCACCAAATAAGCTACAACATGGTTTAGACTCAGCGCTCCCACAGGTGAATGAAGTGGTGAAAGAGCAGGGACAAGTATCGGTCAGTTTAAGTAGTTGGGGTGGGGAGGGGGGTAAATAACCTGTAATTTTGTCCATTCTTCCTTCCTCTCTCTCTCTCTCTCGCAAATAAACATAAAGGTCAGGGTAGTCACAGGTAATTAAAAGAGAATAAATAATCCAAGGCTTTACTAACTAACATTTTGGAGGGTCACACCCCACCTTTACCTTGATAATGTATTCTCTTTCAAAACCCTTTGAGTGCCATCATGTTTATCTGCTGGATATCCCTTACACTGTGCAGATTATTAATCTAACGCATGCGGGGAACAGCTATTACATATACAGACAGTTTAATCAAGGCTACAGGTAACACAGCTTCCACAACGTGAAAAATAATTTTAAAAGGAATGTGATTCCTGATATATGACATCCTGACATGTGAGAGCTAAGATTTAATACTTTAATGGTACCCAGTACTGGCTGGTCTAGGGTAAAAGTCCATGTGTGACTGACTTGTGCCCAAAAAAAGACAATTAACCCCTGTCTCTAGGGCTGAGGTCTAGTCATTTAAAGTGTATGTATAGCCAACGTTTTTTTTTTAAAGTGTTTTGGATAGAAAATGGGAGGATTTGTACATCTGTCAGGTTTTAGTTATTTTTAGTTTTTCCCTGCTAGGTAAATTAATTTCTATTCAACTCTATTTTTCCATCTTCAGGACAGAAAGAGAGGGGAAATCAATCATCTTAGGGCTGTTACCAGAACAAGAGATGAGGGGAAATTTTTTATTGGTGATACCTGTTCCACCTGTTAAGAGGGGAATTCCCTTACTTTGTAGAGATTTCCTCTCACTTCCTGTTTTCTTACAGGACAGGAAGTGAAGGGGAATCCCCCCAATAGGACACAGACAGCAAAAAATAAACTTACACTGGGTTTAACCCTTCCCCTCTACGCTAAAGTTTAAAAAAAGTTTGGCTATACATACACAACTTTATGTTGTGTCAGAAAAAATTGTCTTCTGCAAATCTTGTGAAGAATTATATAAATGTCACAATTAACTTTGGGCATTTGCCTGGGAATTGCTGACAATAAGGCTTTTATCTGCAGTTATCATATGAATATGTTTCTTCCAATCATCAACAGAAATTGAAATATTACATCCTTACAAGTTTAGAAAAATAGTCTAATTATTGTAATGTTTGGCAGAGCCAGCAAAGCAAGAAAACTTTTTATGTTGTTTGTGTAAACTTTTTTTTTATGTAACAAAAAAATGTGATAATCATTGTGCATTTACTTTCATGTATGATCTTTATTGCATTGTGGTTCCTGGGTGGCTAATTCAAACCCAGCACCAAGTAGCCATGAGCGAAAGTGAAGGTGTTTTTCTTTTTTGTGAGCATGAAACTTAAATAGTATTTCTAAGAACATCTTCTAATATGACAATGTGAGTTCTTTTAATACCATTATCCCTCTAGGTCCCCAAAGACCCTGACAAATCAAATCAGCTTCACGTCTTTCAGTAGCTACATTATAAGTGTATCTTGTCTCATAAAATTGGACAGCACAGGAAACTTACCTTGAGGCTTGAACTGGCCATTCAAGCTACCAGCAAATCCACCATGGTCCTCAGAATACATTGGATCCCTCCAGCCAGAGTGAGACCAGGAAGCATGAAAATATTTTTTTCTTGTGTCTCCAAGCCACTTCTCAACATATTTCTATATTCATTGATAGAATGTGCATGTTACATATTATATATGTCATAGTGAGCACCAATAACTAGATTTCCTGGACGCTCCTTGATATTACCCTCATACAATCCTAGTACTTTGGATGCTGTGTGCATTGATTTATGTGTTTGTTCTTAAACAATAGTTTACTGATGCAGAATTATTAACTGAATATTCTATTGGTCTCATTTTCATAGACTCACACAGTGCCAAGTGCATCAATACAGCATTATCATTTTATGTGTACTGCGTCTTTATAAATATTTAACTTTATACTCAGATGAATGTTGTGATTACATTGGTACAACATGAAAAAAATATTCACGCACGCAATGAAGAACCACAGAACAAGCACTTCTTCCCAAAGGACTGTGTGCAATGATTCACTATAAATAAATATTTTCCAGCTCTCATCAGTCATGACAAGGACAAATGCAGTGTATCCCATATGGTTAAATCTGGATGCTCTAGGGATCAGCAATGTCTAGTCTTCTTATGCTGAGAATATTTACTTCATAAATACTTGATGGTTCATGTAGGGGATAACGGTTTTAGCATGATTCAAGGAAAATATGGTATACCAGCTACTGTACACATATTTCTCTTTAATATTCTGCTTAAAACAAATGTTCAGTGTTTTGTTTAGAGCGGTCCCTGCTTCCTATAAATCCAATACTAGCAACAAAAATTGATTATTTTCTTCCAGTAATGCAACCTGGTTTCTCATCTCAGCCAGTCAGCTGTAAAGAGTTTCCATGAATGCCATGGTATCTGAAAAGTCAGACTTTATTTAATCAAGTAGATATAAGTCACAGCAGAATGGGCCACTTTTTGGACATTGTTGGCAATGGCTTTATACACTTTATACAGTCATGTATGTAAACTGTTTTGAGGTATACCCAATTATAGAAAAAAAACAATGTTCGCACAGCAACAATGCATTTCAGGCTGTTTTATTACAAAGTTGATAACAAAGTTGATCACTTTGTTGATAACAAAGTTCAAAAGTCACCTTTTCATGTCTACTTTTTTTTTAAGTACTGTCCACTTGTTCTGACTACAAAAATTAGAACTGTAAATGTTGTGCTGGCCACAAGTAGCTGGAATATACATATTAAAATGGCCAGAAACATATCACAATGGTAACAAACACATATTACAATGGCCAGTAACACATCTATATTATACTTGGTCGTTTTGGTAATCATCTGTGTTAGGGATGGGGTTTCTTTATTACACTTGGCAGCTTGCAAACGGCCTCTTTCATAGATGGCCTTTCTATATTATACTTGGTCCCTTTTTGGAAATCCTCTGTGTCGAGGATGGGATTTGTATATTATACTTGACACCTTGGGAATCTTCTGTATTGGGTATTGGCTTTCTGTATTACACTTGCTATGCTTGAGAATCTTTTGAATTGGGGATAGGTTTTTTATATTGCACTGGTTTCCTTAAGAATCCTCTGTGCCCAGGATAGGCTTTCTATATTACACTTGGCTCCTTGGGAATCCTCTGTGCCCAGGATAGGCTTTCTATATTACACTGGCTCCTTGGGAATCCTCTGTGTAAAGGATAGGCCTTCTATATTACACTTGGTTCCTTAGGAATCATCTGTGTCAGAGATGGGATTTCTATATTATACTTGGCTCCTTAGAAATAATCTCTGTCAGAGATGGGTTCTCTGTATTACACTTGGCTCATTGGGAATCCTCTGTGCTAGAGATGGGTTTTCTATAGTGCAGTCAGCTCCTTGGGAATCCTCTGTGTCAGAGATGGGTTTTCTATTTTACACTTGGCTTCTTGGGAATTCTCTTTCAGAGATGAGTTTTCTGTATTTCACTTGGCTCATTGGGAATCCTCTGTGCTAGAGATGGGTTTTCTATAGTGCAGTCAGCTCCTTGGGAATCCTCTGTGTCAGAGATGGGTTTTCTATTTTACACTTATTTTTTTTGGAATTCTCTGCAGACATGAGTTTTCTGTATTACACTTGGATCATTGGGAATCCTCCTTGTGTCCAGGATGGGCTTTCTATATAACACTTCACTTTTTGCAAATTGGGTATGTTAGAATTAGCTATTTCTTGTACATCTGCAGTGACCAGGTGTCTGTTTCTAACATGGAATGTGAACTGAAGGAGGTGTGTGTTATGACAACTGTTTTTAAGGAAAATAATTTTCTTTAACCAATGATTCTGAGGATGCCCTGAGGTTGCAATGGTTGAGGGTGGGTGCACAGTTATTAAAACGTGATGCTATTTCATAAGCTAAAACATCTAGCTTACATGCTTCATTTATGTGCACAAAAAATTAATATCAATAAGATTATGTTGGGCATTTTGAGACAGAGTCAGAAGGGCTTGTTATGTGGAAAACACATTATGATAACTGCATGCAAGTATAAAGGACATGCAGATGTTATACGATTACATAATTTAAAAAATCACACAGCTTTGCACGTGCAGCTTAGTAATCTGGAAATATATTTAGAACAGTAACAATTAAACAGTAAAGCACATTTGGTTTATTAACAATAACATAGACCATGGGCATCGTGCCCCTCATCTCCTTTGGCAGAAGGTCAGCATTTCCCTTTGACATCATTATCCAATTGGTCTGCTAATCTCAATGTGTTTATCTGTGAGCCGCTCTAGGAAAGGAGCCATCCACATCGAGATTACACTGTCTAACAACGAAGCCTGTATGAGCAGCAGAGTCTCAGCTGGCATCAAACACGGTTCATACAGACCCTCTTTATTCAGGTCACTACCATGTGTTACCGCAAGGACATAGATAAACAAGCTGTTCTAGAATCAGGCTGTGTTTAAATTTTGTATTCAGGCTGAAAATAAAAAAAAAAA